ACACAAACGGATACAATCACAAGTGCTCAGACTGAACTACTTTTGCCTACACATCTATCACATCCTCCCACCCAGGCCTTGCCTTCGTGGTGCTGTCAGATGATGGGAGCAGAGCAGTGCTGGCAGATGGGGCAGGCACCGTTCTCAGCTCTGCTAAGCACAGGTTGCACAGACACCTGGGCACGGCGTCCCGTTGTCGCCAGCAGCTTCCAAGCTCCATCCGCTCACAAGCGAAGCAGCTACGGAAGGGGCATTAAAATACACCACTCTCGTCTTCGAGACCTCAAAAACGAGAGAAACGCCCACCACAGCGAGCCCCCAAAGAACCAGCGGGACGGCGAATGACCCAGCGGCATCTAGGCGAGACAAAAGCCGGGGAGCGCCTCCCAGCTTCCCCAGGAGGAGGAGGAGGAGAGGGAAGGAAGCGTTTCGCGGTGCCTAAAGCGAAGCCCACACCCGCGCTGCGCCTCGGACCCGCATCGGAGCTGGGCGTCGCTCCCGGAAGAAGCGGAGGCCCAACCTGCGACACCCGACCTCCGCCTTCCCCTCCTCCCTCGGGCGGCCGGGCGGCACCGCGGGGCTCGCAGCCGGAGGGCCCGCCGCTTCCTGCCGAGCGAGGCCAGGCCGGCCCCCGCCCGCGGCGCCGGGAGCGGAGCGCAGGGCAGACCGAGCCGGGCGGACCGCCCCATCCCCACACACAGCTCGGCCCCGCTCTGCGCCAACAGCCCCGGCCCAGCGGCGGTGAGGCCCCGCACTCACACAGCGCAGCCCCAAGGAGCGCTGCTCGCACACGGCCGGCTCCGGGCCCGGCTCGCCTACCCGTCCGCCCTCCCCTCCGCGCTGCGGACGCGCGGCTCCCAGCCTCCCGCCCCGCTCCGGCGCTGCCGCTCACCTCAGACTCTCCGCCGGGCGTTGGCGGCTCGCTGCGGGGTCTCCTCCGCTTCAGGCGCAGGGGCACGCTGCCGGTGACGTCATCACGCAGAGCTGTGCGGGGCGTGGTGTTGGTGACGTCATCACGTAGGAACGTCAGGGCGGGGCTTGGAGCCGCGCTTCCAGCTCGCCCGGTTTGGGGGCGGTGGGGCTGTTTGGAAAAGGGCGCTTTGATCGCTCAGCGCTGCCGGTGCGCAACCTCGTCCTCAGTGCCGTGTCCACGCATCCCTTAAGTACCCCCAGGGCTGGGGACTCCCTGAGCAGCTTGACTGATACCACTAAACGAGCCAATGCAAAGGAAAATACACCGGGTCTGATGTTAAACATACTTAACAATACTGGCTTTCACAAAACTAGGTAATGTAAGCAAATCATCCTTCATCTACTCGAGAAGCCTGGTGTATCATTACCTAAGTCAGTGTGTGGGCCCTTTGCAGTGTAACACTGTGAAACTGGAAACTGGATACAAACAAGAGGAGTGCAATGTGCAGTCATGGAGAGGAAGACTGCTTACTTCATCTGAGGGGGTCCTGAGAGCCCCGCACCAAGCCGCTGAGCATGTGCAAGGAGGTGGGACCCTACGTTATACTGTACCATAGAACGGCCTGGGTTGAAAAGGACCACAGTGCTCATCTGGTTCCAACCCCCTGCTGCATGCAGGGTCACCAAGCAGCAGCCCAGGCTGCCCAGAGCCACATCCAGCCTGGCCTTGAATGCCTCCATGGATGGGGCCTCCACAGCCTCCTTGGGCAACCTGTTCCAGTGCATCACAGACTCACAGAATGGCCAGGGTTGGAAGGGACCTCAAGGATCATGAATCTCCAACCCCCTGCCACAGGCAGGGCCAGCAACTCCACGTTTAATGCTAAACCAGGCTGCCCAGGGCCCCATCCAACCTGGCCTTGAACACCTCCAGGGATGGATGGGGCATCCACAGCCTCTCTGGGCAGCTGTTCCAGCACCTCACCACTCTCACAGTAAAGAACTTCCCCCTGACATCCAACCTAAAACTTCCCTCCCTCAACTTAAATCCATTTCCCCTTGTCCTGCAGTTATTTACCCATTCAAGGAGTTGATTCCCCTCCTGTTTGTAGGCTCCCTTGAGATACTGAATGTTATTGACTATTGCTGAGCAGGAAACCTTTTGCATATGTAACGCAGGTAACGTATTTAAGCTGAAGATCTTTTGTTCAAGATATGTGCGGTTAGGGTGAAGATATCCACTCAGGGAGCATCGGGACACTCAGACATAGCTCTCTCACACAGTGTTTGAGTAGCAGGAGCCAAAAAGCAGCGTCCTGGCTGAAAGAGAAAACTCATTTAAATCAATTGAATTCTTAAGATCCAGGAAGACCTGCTGGGCTTGTTGTGCAGCTCAGGAAGGCAAAGTGCTAGCAGCGGTAAGCCTGCAGTGCTGCCCTGCAATGGGCAGCTGAAAACCATCTGATGAGGCTGAAAACCCCTCTGCCCCTCCTCTGATTTTGCTCAGCCCTGGTTCTGTGCCCTCAAAATGCAAAAATTCAAAGGTGCTCTAATGCTCTTGGTACATCGGGGAGATGCTTCCTGCACTCTCAGTCCCATCAAGTCATTATTAAACTCATCTCTTGGGACCAAAAGAAGACAAAGCTCACGTCAGCAAGCATCAGCTCTGGGGAGCAGGTATCAGCCAAAGATGAGCAAAGCCACTCTGCCAAGCACTGTTGGCATCAGAAGCACCTCTCCCACAGAGACTGTCCATCTCTGGGGCTTTTGGAACGAGCCATTGGCTGCACATCCACTGCTGCCCCGAGCGCTCATTGAAGAGCAGTGGGAGAGAAATCTTTAGAAATACCATGACTGGGTGCACACCTACCCACAGCCACTGCCTCCAGAGCCAGCAAGCTGCACTGTGCCACCTCTGCTGAGTGCAGCAGCATTGTTTCAAAAGGAGGAAGGGCTGTTTGCAAAGCTCTGCTCTTTGTTGCAACCAGGTTTACCTAGAAAACACCTAAATGCAACACTTCCCATGTCACTGAGTCCACTCTCAGCTTGCACATGGATTAGTTCTGCAAAGTCCGTGACCTGAGATGGAAAAGCATTAAATTAAACTTGGGTGCAGATAAATGTGACTGTGAATGGAAACAAGGGTCTCAAAGGAGGACCCTGATTTTTAACCTTTTGTACAGCAGATGAAACAGCCCCTGGTTTCCTTCCCTCCCTGTGAATGCAGCCTGGCATACCTTCAGAAACAGCAGTGGCTGGAAAGGCAGCCAGGGCTCTTTTTCAAAGCCCCATTGTTCCTTGCTATGATTTAAGCAGAAGTACAACATGAAAAGTTTCCCCAGACTTGCAGAATTACACACCTTCAATGGTGTTTTCTGCAGTGAGTCACAAACAGCTGCTGCCTCATTCAGTTCTCATCCAGAAGTTTGTTCACCTGAGACAGGCACAAGCATTCACCCAAATGAAAGGCGTGAGAAGCGTGTAGGAGCAAGCAGAGGCCACCTCTCACCCATGGACAGCCCAGACCCCTCCCAGCTGCAGTTTGGTGCTTTGTTCCTGATTAAATTCCCACCCTATTGATCCAAAAATGCATTAAGGAAAGGGCTCAGGACAGGCTGAGCCAAGCAGAGGTACTCACAAGCCCAGAGGCACTCAGGGAACCCTCCACAAGCTCTACTACTAGTGGTTTTACCAGCACCGTCCCCTCTGTTTTCTTGCAACAAACACATTACAGAGAGGTAATGTTGCAGCAGAATTGCATCCTCAGCTGCAAGTGCTGCAGGAGGTTGCAGTTCAGCACCTTTCACCTTTCTGTCACCAGCTCCATCCCTATTTTACACAGGATGGGCTGCTCAGCTCTGCAGTGGTACCTTGCCCTATCTCCCTGCCTGCAGCACAGAGAGCATCACAAGGCAAGGCTGGATATGCTGCACTTGCTGCAAGCCTTTTGCTTGTTGGAGATACAGAAAGAACAGGCAGGACTCTGCAAGATGGGCAGCGCACGGGTAGGATGGAGAAGTAGGCAAACCTTCAAAGAGCAAGGTGGCAGGAGAGGCTAGAAGAGGCATTTATGCTCACTGAACAGGATCCCTCTACCCAGCAGAAATGTGCTGGCACAGAGCACCAGCCCTCTGTGACACACAGCTGTCATTCAAGCAGCAAGTGCTGGCACCCAAAGGAACTGCAGCGGGGCAGCAGAGCTACAGGGCACAGAGGGTCAGCAGGCTTTGCTGGAGAAGTGAAATCCTGTCAAAGTCCAACATAAGAAATCACAAACTGCAAAGGACAAAGGCAGCAGACATCACCCAAGTCCCCTTGTGCATGTACATCAGCTTACAATTCTTAATGATGGGAAACAGATAAAACTGGGGCAGGAATACCTTCTCCCCAGAGGAGCACAAATCACAGGCAAAAGTCTCTGATGTTGCTGTAATTAGCACTATGGCAAAGACCATGCAGTAATTAACTTTCTCCCTTCCAAGTTAAGATTTAATAACATGCAGTAAAATAAGACCTGGGGTGGTAAAACATGCACAGGAATAAAAAAGAGACACCCTATCAAATTAGGCACTTGTGACTTGATAAGGAATTAATTATACCCTGGTCTGATAATAACAACACATTGCTTTTAATTTGCCCAGTGCTCTAAGTGAGGGAGGGTGAGCTGGGAAAAGCTTCTTCCAAAATCCTACGCTGACTCTTGAGAAGATTTCTGCCAGCCACAGAGAAGCACAGCAGGATGGGGCTGGGGTGATGGCAGCACTGCAACGAGAGAAGCCTGGTGCAGTGATGAGCTGAGGGTGACCTGGGAGAAGCCAGAGCTGCAGCATCCCCATCTTCGGGTCTCAAGCCAAGCACCAAAACCTCCTCTGCTGCAGGGCAAGGGCCAGGAGGAGCCCTACTTGGTCTGAAATGAACAAATCCCCATTAGAAAGGGAACAAGGAACAACAGACCTCATTGCATGCGACCTCGACCACTTTTCCCATGCCACAGGGCTTCCTAAATGTGTGTTGTAATAAGGGCCAAAATCCAGACCTGAAATCACTACCTGCCACACACAGTCTCAGTGAGGTATGCCACAGCCAGATGGGTAGGACATATTTTATAACACAATCAATCTGCCCCAAGCATATTTGCTTTTTGCCCCAAGTCCTTTCGAAATTACTCCATCTGATATCATCTGCCTCTTGTTAAAGCTTGGCATAAGTCAAAGAAATAAGTTACTTGATTACTAGAAAATCCAGTAAGACTGAATTCAGAATTAGTCTTACTAAAGCAAAGAGCAAGTACTGGCAGCATCAGCATTTTCATTTCTTGGTCTCTTTCCTTGCCCTGCCTTTGGCAACGCTCAGGCACTGCCTGTCCTCAGGCATCAGCTCTGTTCAGAGGTCCTGTACAGCCAACACACTTTGCATCATTTGGTGAGGCCCTGGAAGTTGGGCTCTGTGCACGGGGGGAGCGCTGCCTGCCGGCTCAGCAGTTTGTCCAAGATGTTTATTTCAGCATCTCGTCGCTCAATGTCCTCGAAAGGCGTCCAGGACATGTCGTGCTGCAGCTTATAGGCACCGAGAAACTCGTGGGGGCTGGTCCCCCACTCCTGGAAGAGAAAGGACAGACATACATTGCTACTGGGTTTCCCTTGGAGCTACACTGTGCTGACAGTCGCAGCCTCTCTGCCCAGGCTGGCTTGCCCCACCACCTTCCAGGCACTCCCAGCTACACAGATGTCCCACTTTCTAACCTCAAAATAAGAGTAACTACCCTGAGTCTAAGACCAATCAAGGCACAGTACAGTGCTGCTGACACAGGGAAGTCTGGGGACACAGTATCACCTTGCAGAGCTCCTCCACCTTGCTCATTGCTGTTTTCTCTGTAGTCTTCACCCTGTGCATTAGAAAATGGGTTGCCTGCAAGGAAGATACCTCCAACACTAACTCAAGAGGAGAGTCATCCCCACTTCCCATAGAAACAAAACACCAAGCTGCAAACCATCTCAACCCCTGGGCTAAAGCACCTGAGAAAATTGCTGCCAACAACTACAGCAGACAGGGAAGGCCCAGGGCACGTCTGCATTTCTCTGCTTTCGTAAAAAGAATGGTGGAGACTGAACTGAGGTCGTCTACCTGTCAAAGACACTGCTCACCTTAGACCAGCAGATAACTCAGATCAAGAAACCCAACCGAGCACAGGTCTGTGAATGGCTCCATCAAACCAGTGCTTTTGTCAGAGTTTCAGAAGTGCCCAAATACCAGAAATTGTCTCTTCCCCTCTCTGCTTCCTCAGAGGCTGCCGCCACACACCTTAGGAGACAGGATGGAGAAGTACTTTTGGCCACTCTCCCTCCTATACAAGTAGTAAATGTTTCCTGGCTTCTTCACTAAGTTGCAGGCCACGTGGTGCAGATCAGCATCCCTGTTAGCATCTTCCAAGACCTGAAAACAAATTTAAAATTTCCACACTTGAAATATAACTGGTTACTTACTTCTTACACACACACTTCTGCATCTCAGCCAGAGCCCACAAGGCTCTGCCTTCCCAGCACAGCTCTTGCTTCATCCCATCGCTTGCCCCAGGAAATAGATGCTTTCCAAAGAGGCATTTGTTTTCTTCAAGTTTCCTCTGCCGAGCTGCACTCTGGGACTCTTGCAACCCTCCACAGATGTGCAGATACCTCCAAACAGCAGCAAACTCTTCACAACCCCAGGTTCGCCTGTGCCCCTGCCCCCACCATTGGCTGGAGTCTTTCCTTGCCTCCATGCACAGTCAGACCCTGGGGACTTCCCTGCTGAAGTAACCTGGGGAAGGCACAGCAAGCACAGGGGAACTCAGCTCCCCAGCTGCAGCTCTTAACAACCACATGACATAATTGCCTTGATGACAGTGGGCCAGCTGCAGTGACCAGCAGGTCCCTTCTCACTCCATAACTTGTTTTTGGTTCTATGAGCACACCTGTAGGGCTGAAGACAAAATGCAAGAGAACAGCTGAGCACTGCTGGGTTGACAGCCAGGATCAACTGCTCTGGCAACTGAGCTGGGACAAACTCAAAAGCTGAGACACACCCAAACCTCAGAGCAAAGCTCATCTTCTCCCAAGGGCTTGGATTCACCTCAGAGCGACCATCCAGAGCCACACTGTCACCCTGCTGCTCCAGCTCCTCCTGGAAGCACACCCTACAGTGACAGGAGTTTTCTGTCACCGTCATAACTGACATCCCAGCTGCCATGGGCTGACCACCAGCTCTCACCCCTCCTTTGAAAGGACTCGGCACACCTGACAAAAGCCCCCCTGATATGCAGAATGCGGCAAAGCCCCCAAAATATCCCTCGTGCCCCCAGTTGATACCAGACAGTGAACTCTGGCTGTCATCCCCCCGAATCTTCTCTACTTGGCTTCAGGCAATGACCAGCCTGCAGCTTCTCCCAAATACCCAGCAGCCAAGTAAAAGCAAATCTTTATCCTTGTTTCCTTCCTGCCACTGGATGCATCCTCACCTTCCGAGCCTGCTCCTGCAAGCACCGGATCTGCTCAGCAATGACAGTCAGCTTGTTGCAGGCGTTGGCTCGAACAAACTCATCTGCCTGCAAGAGACACAGGAGTTGATGAGGATGAAGGCAGTCAGGGTCCTATGGACATTTCCACACTGAGGAAGCAATGGCTGCAGCCTTGCATTAACGGAGCTCTAACACGAGCTGCACAGGCAGCTCTGAGCCCCCCGGCAATCCATAGCTGGTGGGGGGACACCACAGCATCCCCAGACAGCTGGGTACACAGATGCAGGCAAGGGGAAGGCACAGTGGGCAGGAGTTGGGCAGCAAAACGGAGGTGAACCAGAAGAAGTGGGATGCACCAAGAGAAGGCAGAAGGATCTATGGGGAGGTGTTTGGAGGGGCTAGAGAAGGGCAGGAAGACAACCTGGGAGGCACTGGGATGGGAAGGAAAGAACTGAGGGGAAGAGCAGAACATACAAGGATGCACTGGGGAGAACAGCAGGAAATACTGAAACCCAACAGAGCATCCACAAGGTTCCTTCCACCCTGAACCATTCCTACCAAGGTGGTAGGCAGCAGCACAGGCAATGGGGCATACAAGGATGCAGGATACACTGGGAGGTACTGGGATGGGCAGGGAGACACTAAGGGGGACAGCGAGGCATAAAAGGGTGCACTGGGGGGAGCAGCAGAAAAGACTTGGGGCACTGAAGCCATGGTGGGACCCACTGGAGAACAGCACACAGCGCTGGGAGGCACTGGAGCACCTGGGGCGGCAGGGCAGGAGGACAGGGCAGAGGTTGGAGATGGATGATGTGCAAGGTTCCTCCAACCCGAGCCTTTCTGTGCTCCTTAACGGCGAGAGGCACCGGCACGGAGCGGGGACAACACGGCGGTGCTGACTCGGGGCGCTGCCGGGAACCAGCAGGACACCGGGTGCCCGCACGGCCTCAGCCCCGGCCCAGCCGCTTCCCCGGGGGACCGTGCCCGGCCCTCACCTGCTGCACCTGTCGGGCCAGCGCCACCAAGTCCCCCGGGTCCCCGACGCGGGCGGCCCGCCCGGCGCTGCCCTCCACCAAGGCCAAAGCCAGGCCCGCACCGCCACCACCGCCATCCTCCCCACCTACGGCCGCCATAGCCCGCCTTGCCCCGCCCCTTCCGCTCGAGGAGGAACTTCCGGTGTAGGCGTGGTCACTCAGCAGGGGGCGTGGCCAAAAGTCTTGCTGGCGTGCGGTGTGGGCGTGGTCGTGAGCAGCGGGCGTGGCTACGGGGGGGCGTGGTCTGGCGCGGAGCCGGGCGCCCGCAGGCTCGGCCATGGCGCTGCTGCTGCCGCTGCTGCCGCTGCTGATCTGGGCGGCGGAACCGCCGGCACCGCTGGGACCGCCGGAGCACTCCGATCCCCCGCTGCCGGCCGAGCCCCCGGACGCGCTCTTCGCTGCCGGAGCCGAAGCGTACGCGCGGGGGGACTGGCCCGCCGTGGTGCTGCAGATGGAGCGGGCGCTGCGGGCCCGCGCCGCTATCCGCGCTCGGTCGGTTCGGTGCCGCCTGCGCTGCGCCAATGCCACCGCGGCGGTACCGACGGACGGACTCGAGCCGGCTCTCCGCGATCTGCTGTTCTTCCGGGGGCTGCTGCGGCGCGCAGCCTGCCTCCGGGGCTGCGGGCCCACCCAGCCCTCCCGGTACCGCCTGGGCGAGGAGCTGGAGAGAGAGTTCCGCAAGCGGAGCCCCTACAACTACCTCCAGGTCGCCTACTTCAAGGTACGGCCCCGAAGGAGATGAGATCCGGGAGGGGGGGGGGGGGGATATCGGGGAGCGGCGTCCGAGAGGGGTCCGGAGGTGCGATTCGACCGCAGCGGAACCCGCAAGCGGAGGGGCGGGCGGGAAGGAGGCGGGCGGCGGGGATGGGAGTGATGCTGGGGGACGGAGAGGCGGCCCGGGCCCTCCTCCCATCCCTCCACTGCTCCCCCCGCAGTGCCACGTCGGGGCCTGGCTGGGGCCTGCCGCACCCGAGGCGTGGGGAGGGGGGAGAAACCGTCCACATCCCCACACGTGGTCAGTACCGGGACCCCCACTCCCGGTACTGGGCCCCCACTCCCGGTACTGGGACCCCACACCTCATATTGGGACCCCACATCCAGTACTGACCCGGTATGGGGGCTGGGAGGCAATGTGCATGTTCAGGATGACCCCAGTCCTCTGTGTCTTAGCTCCAAAAGTTGGGGTCCCTCACCACCCCTCTGCCCTCCCACAGATCAATAAGGTGGCGAAGGCCGTGGCTGCAGCCCACACCTTCTTCGTGGCCAACCCCGAGCACGTGGAGATGAAGCAGAACCTGGAGTACTACCAGATGATGGCAGGCGTCAGGGAGTCCGACTTCGCTGACCTGGAGGCCAGGCCCCACATGGTGGGTGCCCCATCCTCGTGTTGGGTTTTACCCCAAAATTGCATTTTCTTAGCTGGGAATGTGGCAGCGCTCCTAAAATACCTGCCCAGGGCTGTGTGTGGGGAGGGGGAGATGGGCTGTGGGCTTAGCAAGCACACAGCACTGCTGTGTGTCCATGTGGTGAGAGCTGCCCCTGGGACCAGTGCTCTGAGCACATGTGGTGCCCCAGCCCTGCAGACACCCAAGGTCAGGGCACGGGGCTCTGAGCGCTGATGGAGCTGTGGGAGCAGCAGGGTTGGACCTGATGGCCTTAAGCATCCCTCCCAGTAATGCCTGTTTTATGATTGTATGAATGGGCACTGGGCAGCTTTGTGCTCACAGCTCTGCCTGGCTCCCTGCAGACAGAGTTCCGCCTGGGTGTCCGGTTTTACAGCGAGGAGCAGCCGGCTGCTGCTGTCCTGCACCTGGAGAAGGCACTGGAGGAATACTTTGTGGCTGACACGGAGTGCCGTGCTCTCTGTGAGGGGCCCTATGACTATGAAGGCTACAACTACCTGGAGTACAACGCAGACCTGTTCCAGGCCATGACAGGTAAGAGTGCCTGTGCAAAGCCCTCTGTGAGGGGTTGGGACCAAAATGCCCTATGGGTGTGCACACCTCTCATCCAGGCCCTGGTAGTGCTGCCTGGAGGTGTCCAAGGCTACAGGGACCCTGGGCAGCCTGAGCTGCTGAAGAGCATCCATCCCATGGCTGGGGGTTTTGATCTGCATGATCATTAAAGTCCCCTCCAACTTAAGTCATTCTGTGATCCCCATAGATTTCGCTAGGAGGAATGCTGCCCAGGACCCCCTCCCAATTTCCAGAGGGATGTGGAGAATGGGTCACCAGGGCACGGGGCTGGGAGGCCAAGACTGACAGGAGGAACACGTCCTTTATGGGATGTCACACCAGTCATACGGCGGTGGGGGGCCGTTCCTGGGGGTCTCCATTGCTGCACGCTGGTGGCTGGAGCGGGGACCCTATGATGTCTCATCCACCAACCAGCTCTTCGATGACCCCAAGCAGTGATATGGGATTTTTTCTCCACCAGATCACTACATGCAGGTGCTGAGCTGCAAGCAGGGCTGTGTCACAGAGCTCGCCTCGCAGCCTGGCCGGGAGAAGCCCCTGGAGGATTTCCTGCCCTCGCATTTCAACTACTTGCAGTTTGCCTACTACAACAGTAAGCAGCTCATTGCCCCATCCTGCAATGGCCAGGACTCCTGGCACTGCTCACATCAACATTTGTGCTGTGACATTGTGCTGTGGGCAAAAAGGCTCATGGACAGCAGTGTGCCTTAGGAGAGCTGTGTCTTGCTGCCCTCTGTTACAGTGAGCTTCCCTGCTGCTCAAATGCCAAATTCCTGTGCAGCTTCACTACAGCCTAGAGAGGCTTTTTTTTTTCCTGCCAGCTTTCTGCCTCACATCCAAACAAAAGAGGCACTCTGGCCCTCCAGGAGAGTTTGTTATAACCCAGGCAAATGGATATTGTCTTTTTTTTGTTCTCCTTGTTAGAAAAAAATTGAACTATTTCTTTGCAAATTTCCCCAGAAGGATTAAAAAACAAACGAACAGCCAAGGCTGAACTCCAGGAAGACTGAAAGGATGTAATACTGTAGATGAAAGTAGGTCAGCGTGCTTAAGTGGCTGAAAATTGCAGGTTAGCATGGAAATGGTTGGGTGTTACTGTCTGGAAATGGGCTTTAAGATACATTTTCCAAGCATGAAAACTCCTCAGCCAGCGGCACTGATTGCTGCTGAGGTGAGAGAACACCTCACACTGTTACTTTCCCTTTGTGGCAGCAGTTGTCTTTGCTTCAGAGTATCTGCCCCTACTTAGAGCGAGATCCTTCGCAGATTTGAGCTTTCTCTGTTGTTTCTCCTCTGCATCCCCATTTACTCTGTTCCCTATCAAATTCTCATCATCCTCCCCAGTCTCTGCTCCAGCAGTGGATTGTGCCTGTGCCAGAGCTGGGCACCAGCAAGGCAGGGAGAAGACATGCTGTAATGGTTCTGTTTCTCTTTCCAGGTGGGAATTATGAAAAAGCAATTGAATGCACCAAAACATACTTGCTCTTCTTCCCAAATGATGAGGTGATGAACCAGAATTTGGCCTATTACACTGCTGTCCTGGGAGAAGACCTGGCCAGGCCCATTGAGCCCCGAAAGGTGGGTGACCACAGGGACGAGCCAGCATAGGATGGATTCTGTCCTTTCAGAGCTCCGAGCCCTGGCAGAGGTTTTGTGGGCTGATCTGGATTGGGTTGCAGTGGGGACAGCAGGTGGGAGGGCTGCCCTGACCCACCCCTCTGCACCTGGCCCAGGAGATCCAGGCATACCGCCAGCGGAGCCTCATGGAGAAGGAGCTGCTCTTCTTCAGCTACGACGTCTTCGGGATCCCATTTGTGGACCCGGTGAGTGGCACTGCAGCAAGGCTGGTGGCAGCTGGGGGGACGTGTCTGCAGGGAAGGGGGATGTGGTGTCAGAGGCAGGTCCTCATTCAGCTACTGATGCTGTCCCTGTGGCTGTAGGACACGTGGACGCCTGAAGAGGTGATACCAAAGAGGCTGCGAGAGAAACAAAAGTGAGTGTTTGGCCAATTGACACTGGGGGGGGGGCAACCAACGGGGGCACCTCTCTGCCTTCCTTGGGCTCAAGGCAGCAATTGCAGAGGGAATTACCTGATGCTGGGGCTGGGAGAGGCTGCTGGAGGGCAGAGCTTGGTCCTTGGTCACCCCAAGCAGTTTGGGGTAGGGCGTGAGGGCTGCACTGAGATGACACCTTCACACCTCAGGCTTTGTCAGCAGCCCTTAGACACAACTTGTCCTGTCCTTGCCTTGGCATGCCTTCTTCCCGACTTGGGGACAGTGGGGCAGTGGAGCTGATGGCCACTGTGTGCCCAGGGTGGAGCGGGAGACAGCGGCACGCATCTCCGAGGAGATTGGCAACCTGATGAAGGAGATCGAGACGCTGGTGGAGGAGAAAGCAAAGGAGTCTGCAGAGATGAGCAAGTTCATCCGAGAAGGTGCGGGCAGCTCCGGGTCCTGGTGCCAGCCCCAAGTCCCTCAGCACCGCCCCAGTTCCATCCGTACTCCCTCCTGATCCCACCTGTGCTGCAGGCGGCCCCTTGGTGTACGAGGGAGCCAGCGTCACCATGAACTCCAAAAGCCTGAACGGGTCTCAGCGCGTTGTGGTGGATGGAGTCCTGTCAGCTGAGGAGTGCCGGGAGCTGCAGAGACTCACCAACGTGAGCACGGGGATGCGGGGATGCCGAGGGGTCGCATCCTGTGCCTCAGAAATCAGGTGGGATAACGTTGGCTGGGCTTTGCAGGCAGCTGCCTCGGCAGGGGATGGCTATCGTGGGAAGACATCGCCTCACACCCCCAGTGAGACCTTCTATGGTGTCACCGTCCTGAAGGCCCTCAAGGTTAGCGTGGCTGCGGGCGCCTGGGGCTGCTGCCCTGCTGCAGCTGAGCCCGCGTTGCTGTCTGTCCCCCACAGCTGGGCCAGGAGGGCAAGGTCCCCCTGCAGAGCGCCCACCTCTACTACAACGTGACGGAGAAGGTGCGGCACATGATGGAGTCCTACTTCCGCCTGGAGGTCCCGCTCCATTTCTCCTACTCACACCTGGTGTGCCGCACAGCCATCGATGGTGAGCACGGCCCCGAAGGGCTGCTCTGCAGGGGGATGCAAAGCGCCTTCACCCTCTGCCCA